AATCTCGTGTCCTAAAACTGTGGAAAAACATTTAACTTAAACAATTGATCTTTAAAATACTCAGATTTTTCGAAACGCCTATCTTACTTCAAAAATATTGATATGTTTTCAAGTTAAGTAAGTAATCGGCGCCGACTGAAAATAGCATTTCGTGAAAGTTTTATTGAGTTAGCAATCGTAATACAATGCACACGTCGTCTACATCGATGACTGAAGGATCTTGGGCGTTATTCAAACTGGAAATTTTCATTCTAAAATTTATACCGAGTGCCTGTGTGTTGACGTGTACTTCACATAGTTCTGAGATCCGTATACATTGTTCGTACAACATGAAGTACTGTATCAGAGAATCTGAATGATACTTTTTTGCCGCAACTTTAGAATACGATGTCATGAAATCATCAGCAGACTAAATCTAACTCAAAATACTATTGTTAAGCAAGCAATTGGTAGGACTCTGTTTGAGATAACAATTCTACGGTAGTTTCTTGGCTGTTTTACTATACATTTGACGAAAAGAAAAAAAGAAAAATCTGTTGAAACCAATGAGAATAGAAAATTTACTGATAAAAGTTCATAAACATGTTTCTAAGAACATACCTGTGTTTCCGAGTAATCGAGTATTCCATTTGTCCATGCCAACGTAGGACAACACATAACATCAGTTGATGATATTCTCCATCTGATTGTGGCAGCAGGAGAATCAGTTGCCGTAATTGATTGAAATAAGGAGTCAGTACTATTCATATTAACAGGTGTTGTATAAAGATTGATCATTGTTCGTGTCATGACATAGTCACATTGGACAAAACAATACTTCATGTTTACCCAGAACGGTGTTTGAAATGAATCAATAAGTGAATCAACCTCAGTAATAACATCGTCATTGTTCAAAGTATAGGAGAAGAAAAACTGAAATCTTGTTAAATTAGGAAGATTAGTCTTGAAGAATTGTTCCCACCAAGAACCACTGAAAGTTGAGTCATAGACTTTTCGACGAGAGCCCAACTTGAAATGTATAAGTGAAGGTGTTTTTGACACAAGGAATTCAATATCATTGATTGACAGATTACAGTCACCGATTGTTAGAGAAACTAATTGGCTGTACGAATTTAGCAATGCTTTCTCATCATCACTTATGGTGCAGTCTCTCATTACAAAAGTCTGTAACTGTGATAAACTACGCAGAATGGTATGATATTGTGTATACGTACAGTTTCTTAATGTGATATGTTGTAGTGCGCACTGGGATGGCCAGGATATTTGTTCGGTCATGTAATCAATATTTTTTAAATGTAACTTTCGAACTTTAGGATTGGCGATTGCTGATAAAACAAGTGCAAACGATTTAACAAGATTTTTCTCTTGTAACTGAGGTTTCGGATAATATCGATTAATATCATAGGAGTTGCTTTCAATAAGAGTTAGAAAACGCAGTTGACAAAATCCACGAATGTCGTCTGTATTTGAGCCAATGGATAAAATCAATGAACTTATCATTTCCGGTTGAATGATATGAAATATGAGTTTGATCTGCGAACAGGACATTGTCGAAACATTGAGTTCATATCGATCATAAGTATCGACAACGGCTTGTAATCGCTTGCAGAGAGATCGAAGCGAAATAAGAATAAAATGAGCATCGAGATGATCAAGAATACGATAAAGAATCTCTACTGGTAACGAGAGAAGCGACGCGCGCGACATCAATATACTGTTCAAACAAATTAGTAGTTAATGTATTTTATGCTTATTTCTAAACGATAGAATATAATTACAACGCCTAGTATTCAAAATAAAACATTGATGATTCACGAGAATACAAAAAGTTCTTTTTTTCTATTGCTTTAAACTCTTATCTGAAACAAATACACTCGTCAATAACCATAAATGATCATATTTTCACTTACGACAAGACTCTATACTATGATCTCGTTTCATAATATTGTATACGGAGCAATAAAATCTTTTACGAAGATAATGACAGTCATTTACTGATCCTATTTACAAAGACCATATAAGATCTTCATTTTGTACGGCAAAAGGGCATATTTCTCATTATAATATCTGCCAAAAAAGTATAGATATGATATGGAAAAATATGAAATCTGTTGTTTTTCAGTGCGTCTGTTCCAAAAGCTCGATATCCATAAATAAGGTGTACAAAGTCATATTAATATCTGAAGGATAAACATGGTTTTTTGCTCTTACGGCTTCCGTGCAGATGTTGATGAGCATGTTGCGATCGGACCACTTTCAAATCGTAGACGACCAGTTTTACATCCACATTAACATTTGCAGCCTCAAACCATATTCTTTAAAAATTTAAAATCCTTTTCATATAACTTTTCTTCAGATATAGATGATATAATGTTGGTAACTCTCTGCACGTCTCCTACATTTTTATTTCTTATCGTTGTATCAGGTCAGAAACCTTTATACGTACCCCGTCGAAATGTTGTTAAAAAATTAACAAGCCATTGAAATGCTCAGCAACTCAAAATAAGAGAAACGAACTGCTTCAGTATCCATAAAGCCGTCGAGCATGTGATAAAGTTACTGCTGTTCTGTTTCAAATGGAAGAAGCAAGTCACCTTTGGTCCTTTTTCATCAATAAAAAATGGTGTAAGCGAGCACGAATGAGAAACAGTACTTCGACTAAAAATCGTCTACACCAGAGATAAGAACAGGACAAGGGTGGGTTTGGGTCTGTGGATGGGATTTCTTTACTACCACCACACCCACCCACACCGACATCGATACCCTTATTGCGGTGTTTCTCGAAGCGACCATGTTGAAAAATAACTGATAAAATTTTCTAAACATCCTATATAAGGTGTATCTCAAGAAAAATAAGTATCTTGTTATATTCTATACTTGGAACGAATGATCAGTCAGTTATTAAATACCAGACTGACAAATCGGTAGCGAACGCATGTTGACGGAATGTATGGCTCAGTCAAATATTTCATCTGAAATATATTTTGAAAATATAATAAGTACGTATATATATATGGAATATTGAAAGATATCAAATTACCAACAAGCGATACGTACGACAAGAATAGTCAAATATCTTCTTTTGTTTTGAATACTTTACTTTACCTTCATAGATTGCAACATGATGTTTTTTGTCGCTGAATAGTAAAAGAACAAAGGTGACTTGCTTCTCTCCTTTGGAACAGAGCAGTAGTAATTTTATCCCATGCTCGACGGCTTTATGGATACTGAAGCAG